GGATGGATCGGGATGAAGGTAGAGCCAAAAGGTCCACACTGTACAGACTGACCACCCCAGGCTGCAGCGAGGCTTGTATGCACTCCAAGGCTGAGACAGCAATTACAAGGGGAACACAAAGACATCCTGTGCTTTGAATCAGAAAAGCAATGATTTCATTTGCAGATAAAGCAAAAACAGAAGAGGTCGTGAGAGTCACCAATAACTTATTACATCCCTCTGAATTACACCCTTTCGTTAATACAGACTGACCACCCCAGGCTGCAGCGAGGCTTGTATGCACTCCAAGGCTGAGACAGCAATTACAAGGGGAACACAAAGACATCCTGTGCTTTGAATCAGAAAAGCAATGATTTCATTTGCAGATAAAGCAAAAACAGAAGAGGTCGTGAGAGTCACCAATAACTTATTACATCCCTCTGAATTACACCCTTTCGTTAAAAAAAATAATTAAACAGAGAAATTTGAAACAGAGAAAAGATCTTGCTGCTATTCTTCTAACGTGTTTACTGCACCCAAATTTCTGTGACGTCCCCTCCATTCCCCAGTGGTGTATTACAAAAGCACAGAGCTATTGCCATCAGGGGTGAGACTGCCAGACAGGTAGGAAAACCAAACTGGTTCTGAATTAGGCTACCACCACTGCCAGCTGCAGTGGCACTGGGACAGACAATGGGCAAGGCTCCGAACTCCGGTCCATGCCAAAGGGCTCTGGGACACTCATGCAGCTGGGTCTTCGTGGAGACATGCACCTCAGCTACCTTGAGTTTCCATGAGCATTATGTTAATCTGGAAAGGAAACATTTGATAAAAAAGCCATCGCTGACAACCAGGCAGAGCCTTGCTCAAAAGACAGGAGCAAATCAAGTGACAAATAACTCCCAGCATGTGCTGAGAGTCACTGGAATGTCAGGGAGCTGCATCCTGAAGCCACACATAATTAAGTTTTGACAAAATTGATTTTTATATTTTAGTGCTGCTGAGCCACAGCCTTATGAAAAATTACCAGAATCTGAAACATGATATGTAGAAGAATTTGAAGTATTTTGATAGTCAAAAGAATGCTTAGGTGCCCTCTCAAGCTAGCACACAAGCACTACACTATCATCAGCATGCTAAGCATCTCCCATTTATTTGTTTTTCTCTTCCTCCCCCAAAAAGGCACTCTGGCACATAGAAGAGAAGACAGTGCAGGGACATCAAAACTTGTCAGAGTAAAGAGATGTGTGAGAATGAAAATTGTTGTAAGCATTGACTCAAAGTAAATCAGAGATGACAGGCAGGTAGGAAGTGAACACCAGCATCAGCTAGACTGCAGTGTGAGACTCATCCTGGGGAGCAGTCTTCTGCTCAGAAAAGGGTAAGAATATGAAATCAAACCAAATCATCAAACCAGTATCACATCTGAGCCACCCAAAGGTTTAAGAGATTTATTTTAATTGCTTCAGAAAAGAGGTTTGTGGGTGGGGAAAGACAAGAAGAGAAAAGTTTTTAAAAAATAAAAGGTTCAAGTGAATCCACCTGCTATCCCTTGCTGGAAAACCAGTCTGCAAAGCTCTTCAGATTAGAAACATTTTATTCTTTGTCTGTACAATAACACAGGCCCAGAAGACCAGGGAATTTTCAGAGAGCTGCTACATTACAAATAAATAACAATAACCCACTTAATCTCTTCTTAATGCAGCCCTGAAGGGAATGCAAGTGAGATTATCAACTAGCAGTATATATTTAGCAGAACTTCAGTTATGGTTCACAGCCAGAAATTCCTATCCCTCCTCCCTAAAGTGTCTGTTGGCTTCAACAGAGCAAATACAAACTTCAGGACTTGGATCATAAACTGTTAAAGAAGTTTAGTAACAAAAGGATGGGGAAGAAGAACGTGTTACTGCGTAAGCATGGTGAGAGACTTTTGCACCAGATCCAACAAAAGCAGTGGAAGTGGGTGGAAAACAATTCAAGGCAGAGAGAAAAACAAAACCATGATTGCAACATAGCTTGGAAGGCACGAGAGCTCCTGCCCCCTGTGCCGCTGCCTTGCTGCGGCGCAGTGGCAGAGATGGCAGATGCTGTAGTAGATGCCATTCCCAAATCAGCTGATCACCCACATCCCATGCAAAGAAGGGCTGGGTGTGATTGCCCCATCCTGAGGACCTGCTCAGGTCATGCTGTAGAAGAATGTGACAGATGCAAATAGGCATCAAGGGAGAGAGTAAAATCGTCACACCAAAACCACACTTACAGCAACCAGTTTTTCAGGAGACACATTCACTCCTTGCACATCTTCTTCTTCAGGCTCTTCGTTTTCCTTATTGTCAGTGCAAGAGACACAGTCTTGGACAGAGCAAGTGCTAAGCAAGTCTGGCAAACTGGTAGATGGATACTTGAGAAAATCCCCTTCAGAAGATTCCTACCCGAGAGACAACAAAATGTGTTACACTGCGTGCAGAAAAACACCAAAGTCACAGCACAACTGCTCCATTTCACCTGCCCAGTGCGAGCTCCCTGGTTAACCCTCCCCTGGTTACACACTTCCATGTGCTCAAACTTTAACGGCCTGGTTATAAAAAGCAGGACTGGTTTTAAAGTGCATATATAGTAAACATAGGCCAATACACATTTAAAACATTTAGAGCTCACAAAGAAGAATTTAAAATAAGTGCTTCTCCAGCAGCCTCCTATTCTCCATTTTGGATTTATTAAGCATTACTGCAAGCAAACTGTGAGTTTACTCATTTCACTGCACCCCACATCATACTCTGTGCTCCTACTCCCCCACTGTGGATGCTCCCTTCACATGTTTATCTACCTATATACACATGAATAATACACTGACATCCTACTCAGGAGAAAAAAAATGAAAACCGACCCACTAATCCTCTACCAACTCATTCTTGATGCTTCTGGATCTGTTTCCAGTAACTGGCATCTTTTCTGGCAGGCAAACATGCGCACTGGCTGCAAGCAGTGGCCAGACAAATTCTCATTTTATTGCTTTCAGAACAAATTCTGTGTTCCTGAGCACTCAGCAGGCCCTACAGCAAGGCCATTCCCACACCAACAAATAACTCCCAGAAGGAGATGCTGGGAAACACTTCACCTATTTATACCTTTTCTGAGGTTGCCTGAAACATGGCACAGGCTGGATTCCCCACTGCTGGCCTTTCCAAGTCCTCCTCCCAGGGACATGCAAACTGCCCAAGTGCACAGAGCACAGGCCAAATGGATGCACATACTGATCAGGAATGTGAAGCTTTACGCCATAAATTATTCATTATTATTATTTTGATGAAGTTATCACACGAACAAGCACTCTAATTCTAGCAGAAATACATGCAGTCTACTGCCTTGTCCAATTGTCTAAAGCAAACACGAAATGTACCTACTCCAGGTTAAAGAGAGGCGTTTCCAGAATAAACACTGGTGGGGGGTTACTACCACTCCATGACCCTTCAGAAAGTCTTCAATGAACTTCACTGCCTAACTCAAGTGTTAGAGCTAAGTTACAAGCTCTTCACTTTGAATACGGTGGGATACAGCCTCTTCTTGAAAAATGTGAGCATAGAGCACCACAGGAATCTGTAAGACCATCTAGACATTACAGCCACAGAAACCTGCATTGGGGTGGCTGGTCCTTTCGCCCAAGAAGTTCCTGCCGCCACCTCAAAGGCCCTGATGGCCCCCACCCTGCAGGCAGGTCCTTATTTCAGACCCCTGGGCACTTTCAGGAGCCTGCTGGCCACCCACCAAACACCTGCAGCAACCCAAGCTGGGGGGCAGCAGGTTGTGATCCATGGAGAAGAGTAAACAGGATTGGGCAGGATTTTCTTTAACAAAAGACAAAATGTTATATAATATTCCCTCAGCCTCTTCTGTGATCAAAGCAGAATGAAGAGCCCAATTGATAAATGAGCTCCACTCTCATTTCCCTGAAATTTCATGCTTCTTTATCTGTAAGAGCTCCACTCCATGCTATTAACAAGAACAAAACGAGGAACTCAAGCCCAGAGATCATCATCAAGAGACCTCAGGCACACAGATAGGACAGAGACAAGAGGTACACAGGCTACAAAGGCAGGAAGCAGAAGAGGCTGAAAACAGCCTGTTTTACTTAGCATGTACTTTAAGAAAATGGTTTTGACCCAAATTTCGGTAGCATCTGCATAAATACAGACTCATTCACACACTGAGAGCAACAATACAAGCAAATCATTAAGCTGGTCTACCCTGTGCTGACTTGCCACAGATTTAAGGCAGCTACAGACACATTTCCAATTGCTGTACATTAAATTCAGTAGAGCAAATGTGCACATGTGATTCCCTATCAAATATATGCCCTTTTCACGCAGCACTTGCACAAATATTTATGGATGTACATTGGTGAGACCACCCAGGAGAGGTCTGTACCTTGCTAGAGACCACCAGCTGCACCAGACCAGCGGCCGAGCGAAGGAGAGCCACGGCATCCTGGTGGGAGAGCCCCACCAGCGACTGCCCGTTGATCATGAGGAGCTCATCGCCAGCCGTCAGTCTGCCATCCCTGCAGAAACAGAGTGGGAACACAGAGCTGCAGGGTGGTCTTCCCCCAGTGCCGGGATCCAGTGGCACATGGTGGGATGTGGAGGCATGGACAAAATGTGAACTTGATCACACTAAGCTTGCATTGATCAGTGAAGTGCTGTTTCCCAAAACAAGGGCTTGGAAAGGTGCCCCCAGGACATCATTGCTATAACCAGTGCCATTTCGCCTACTTTGCAGGGCTGAGACCCCTCAAGTCTTCTCCATGGCACTGGCGACAGGCAGGGAGCAGCAGCAAGCCACAACTCCACCTCATTAGGGAAGAGGGCTGGGGCTGGCAGTAAGCACCTTGGGTTGCATGACCCATGCTCACACGCTTCCAATCCCATGGGAAAGGCCCATCTTACAAAAATGGACTTAGGGAAAAAGTCCTACAAGCCATCAGGCTCCTCAGTTTTCGCTCCGGCACCAAGGAATTGCTTGCTCTGTCTACAGTTTGAACTAAACAAGCTAGAAGAAGATTCAGTGATCAAACACAAAAACAAGTTTTTAAGCTACAAATGCCATACCCTCGCCCTCATACAATGGGAGGGAAAAACCCCCACATCCATCTCATGAACCTGGCTAACAGCAATGGCCATGGATACTCCATCACACCCAGTCCCATGAAGGCACCACTGTCGCCTCACCTGTGTGCAGAGCCTCCTTCCTCCACGTGCGTGATGATGATGCTGTGCGGGGACCGCTTTGATCCTCTGCCTCCCGTTATCTGGATTCCCAGCCCATCGGTCCCCTTCAGGATGTGCATCTTCCATATGCGGCAACCTTCTCGCTGAGAGAAAATGGGCAGAGAATCCTTGAATTTGGATTTAGACACGAAGAGAGGGCTGGGAGGGTACAGAAGGGAGCTATTTAGCACCTTGCTGCCCATCACCATACACCTGTACAGCTCAAGCTATACAGGTATTTTTGCTAAGCTTTGCTGTGTTAGCTGTGGTCCAAGCGAAGGAGACAGAAAGAAGGAGGCAGCACAGAGCAGGGTCAGTACGCAGAGGTTTCCTTGCAGGGATGTTTGCAGCTATTCTGAGCCTTGCAGAGGTGCTGCTCTCAATGTCCTGATACTTCCTGAAGCAACCAGTGGCCTCAAGCCCCTTCGCCAAAACTCAAGGATGAGCTGTGCAGGGCCGCAGAGGAGCAAGACGTGGTTCAAGGGGG